TATATATATATAATTAATTTCTATTAATAATTAATTAATTTAAATAGAAAAATTAAGTATAAGAGATTTTCATCCTTTAATATTTTTATCTAACAATTCACAATATACTCTCATTCCGGAGGTACATAAGTAAATGTCCTCCTTTCTTGTGGAGAGGGCCGAACGCCTCGGTATGATAGATGCATCTATGGATCGTGCGGCACGTCCCTCGGCAGTGTACACGAAACTCTGGATCGGGCCGTACGACCTCGGCAGAAATCATGCTTAATAATAATAATAATTACACGATACTTTGATAGTTTATTGCAGCTTGTGAAACTAATTGATAAATTAAAAATCTTTGGAATTTAATGAATTATTATTCCTGGTTGTTAAGGAATTATTGTTATTCCTGTAAATGAGACTAATTGATAAATTTTGAAATTTATTTAAATTGAAGAAATTTAATTATTTCTGCTGGTTAAATAAATTATTGTTATATTCTGTGAATCATGCTGATCTAGATATTCTAATTTTATTTCAATTATTATTATTGACCCATAGTGTGTGTCAAAGTAGGTCATCTCGTCTCTACCACTTCGAGATTAGGCTTGATACTTACTGGGTATACGTTGTTTACGTACTTATACTACACTTGCTGCATATTTTGTGCAGGACCTGAGGCAAGTACTAGTGGGGGACCTATCGTCTTACACCCACGTTATCCAGGGGCATAGTGGTGAGCTGTCTTTCTGAGCCGTTCTGCAGCTACCAGTGTCTCTCCCTGTATTTTTCATTCTATCTATTTTTTATTTCAGACAGTATTAGTGATTTTGTATAATCTACTAGATGCTCATACACTTATGACATCAGGTCTTGGCATATACATTGGTAGAATTTGGTGTCTTATTATTTTCTTGGTTATTTTAAATTTCTCGTTGGCTTGTCTAACTGTAGTGTTGGGCGCCATCACGACCTATAAGTGAAATTAGGTCGTGACAAGTGGGGTCTGGGGAGAGTAGTTTGTACGTAGATCTTACCCCTACCCTGGGGTAGAGAGGTTGTTTCCGATAGACCCTCGGCTCCCTCCCTCCAAGAACTCTCCACCTTGCTCTTAGGGTGATTCGAACTCACAACCTCTTGGTTGAAAGTAGAGGATACTCACAATTAGAGCAATCCACTCTTGTCATATTATATAGTAATAATGTATAATGTATAATATATATATATTTTTCAGCTATATTTTTTGGGCGAACATCTATTTATATTAATTTCTCTATAATGAATGGCCTGCTCAGATTAATTAGAGAATAAGGTCACGGAGTCATTTTATTTCTTTTTAAAAAAGAGAAACAGATTAACAATAGGCTTTGATTACCCAACATCTAACATAAAATGATAATTGCAAATCCAATAATATCTTTAAAGAAATTGCAAAATATAACTACTTCAATAAGGCTAATCATATCACCTTACTGATAAGAGATTTGAACCTAAA